ACACAAGCAGGGGGAGTGGGAGAGGGAGAAGCAGGCTTCCTGCCGAGCAGGGAGCCCAATGTGGGGCTCGATCCCAGGACTCTGGGATCATGACCTGAGCCGAAGGCAGACGCTTAATGACTGAGCCACCCGGGGACCCCTTAACTGGAGCTTTCAACATCCTTTAACTCGTCAGCAGCACACCAAACATTCCGATGGCTGATGGAGTGAGCCGTAGACACCACTTTTTAAATTTACTTGCACTTTGTTGATTAACTTGAAAGTTATTCAGAAAGCTTCAAAAACTTGCCATCTTCAAGCATGTTCCCAGGGCCAGCATCCTAAGTACCCAGAGATAAGATAATTTTGCTATCATGTCTTCGCACTGTAGTTCTGAAGCCAACGAAGTCACAGAACCATTGGAAGATATCCACTCAGAGCATGTACTCAGCATGTAAAACACTGTGCTGTGTGTTTGAGCAGGACCCTGTTACAGGATTGGACAGCATTGTTCTAGAATGCAAGTGCGCTGCCAGGGTCTATTTTCTTGGTCACAGGATCGTCGTCTGACTGCCACATATTCTTTATACAGACTAACAGCCCTCTCAGCAGTGTCTTTGATCTTACACAATAGCTTGACATAAAAATAGTAAAAATTCTAGCTGGATACCTGAAGTAAGCATTTTCCTTGGAATATGCACTGACACAGCACTCCTCTACGGAAAGAATAGTTTTGATGATCCAACAACACAGATTTGGATCTTTCTTTTAGTAAGTGGCAGATAGGAAGCCGAGGGACTGGGAGGGACAGTCTTGCAAAAGCCCAGGCAAAAAATATTAAGGATCTCTGACATGGGGATGGTGAGGACAGGATGAGCCAGAAGCATTTAGAAATAATGGGTAGTGGGACCAGCTGAATGTGGGGGATAAAAGAAAACATCTGAGGGCACATCAGTCGGTTAAGAAGCTCTGGGTGGCTCAGTCGGTTAAGCAACTGCCTTCGGCTCAGGTCATGATCCTGGAGTCCCAGGATCAAGTCCCGCATCGGGCTCCCTGCTCGGCTTCTCCCTCTGACCCTCCCTCAGCTTCTCCCTCTGACCCTCCCCCGCTCTCATGCTCTCTGTCTCTCATTCTCAAATAAATAAATCTTTAAAAAAAAAAAAAGGCAACACACATAAAATAAAACATCTGAGGTCAAGGTTAGAATTTCTTTCATGAACAAAACTTGGGCAGATGATGATGTCAATTACAGGAATACAAGAAGAGGAGCAGATTGGGGGATTCAAAGTGAGGACAAGAGACTCAGTTTGAGAGTTTTTTAGACACGCTGAGTTTGAAGGGCCTGTGGAACGACCAAGTTGGAAATACTAGTGTGAAGCTCAGCAGGAAGATGAAAGCTTGACATCTGGAAGATGAAAGCTTGACATCTGGACAGAGAGGGGATAGGCAGAGACAAGTAATCCAAGGAGACAGAAGCACAACCCAGGAGACCACAGGAGACAACAAAAGAGTGTCACGGAAGCTGAACAGAAGAAAGGAAAAGTGGTTATCAGGGAGGTCAAGTTAGAGGAGGACCAAAAAGAGACTGATGGATGTGGTTACAGTTCACAATTTTTAAAAGGTCAAGGGAGAGAAAGGCCACTAAAATCAGCAGTTGAGGGGGGGCACTGGTGACCTTTTTAGGAGCACTGTTTGCTGATGCCTGAGCCTGCTCTAATGGGACACAATCCTTCATTCTGCAATAAGAGACAAATGCTTAATACTGAAGTGCCTCCTGAAGTTAAAACAGTAACAAACTCATCTTTTCTAAAATATAAGCTCCACCTGGCTGCCTCAGTTGGTAGAGCGTATGACCCTTGACATCAGGGTCATGAGTTCGAGCCCCACATTGGGCAAAGGTTTACTTACAAAAATAAAGCATAATGAACCGCAGAATTTTAGAACTGGAAGGGTGCTTACTGATCATCTATCTGATCGATCCCCCTCATTTTACAGTTGAGGAAACTCTGGTATAGGGCAAGTTTCAGGAGAGAAGCAGACCAGGCCCAGAGCTACTGCAGAGTCCAGACCACAGAACCCATGAAGCCCCCCTGTGCTTCGCTAAGAAGACAGAAGTACGTGTTGAGAACTAAACATGACATTGGAGAGTAGAGGCTTTATTTACAATGATACTCAATCAGGACTTAGTAAACGATATCTCTTCGTCCTCGTATCTTTTCAGCACAAGCTGTACTTCATACACAAAACGGAGACATATCCTGGGGGCCGGAAGTGAGCGCTCTCCTCAGATAATTTCTCTAAATCCCGAGTCAGTTCTGAGCTCCCCGGCTCTTAGTAGGGTAGTTGGTAGACACTTGGTTAGCAGCTGGGACCAAATTCCTGCATCCCGTAGGGAAACGTGTTCAGGGAAGACGTCAACACCAGCAGAGAGAACGTCAGGCTTTTACCTCACTCATGGCTTCCATAAGGCGAGCGCTGTTCGTGACCGCCGTTGTTAGAAAAATGAACCTGTACCCTATGGAGTCAAAAGCACCCGCACACGTGACTAAGAGCAGATCAGAGGCCCCCACGACGAGCCCCGGCCAGCCCTCCAGTTCCACAGCCCTGACTGGACCAGAGCAGCAGGTTACAGACACAGACGTGTCAATGCCACCCTCCTGGGCACGACGACTTGCTGCGTGTGGTGGAACTGGGCTCCCTGCACTTGAACCCGCAGCCGGACTACAGCAAGGGGTGCCCAGAGGCCCGCCAGGAAGCCTTCTGAGCACCGCCCTGTGTCCCCCAGGTCCCCCTTTCTGTTCTCTCTTACCTTTCTCTCTGCCCAGGAACCGGAGGGCTGAGATCTCCGAGAACGTGCAACCACCCAAGAACACCACCAGGATGAGGCGCAACGACTCGCTGGAAGCCTTGTCCTCCTTGGTCATGTCTGCGGAGATCAGGCCAGACTCCGATCTCCCGTGGCGCCCCCAGCCCCCCTCCCGCCCCACCCTGACCGCAGGGCCAGCCACGCACCTGTGAAGGCCAACTCACTGCAGTTGAGTAGCCGCACCACTTCGTCCAGACCCTGCCAGCTTCGTCGTTCCAGCACCTGGGAGGCCCGGGGTTCAAGTCTGAGACCCTATCCGGCTGAGGAAGGGGAGGTCGCAGCAGCCAGACTGTCACGTCTCTTGTTAGTTACGGGGGTGGCTGAAAGTTGGAATAGGCCAGGGACCAAGAGAAAGCAGAGAGTGAAATAGGAACGGCAGCGGGTCGCTTATT